ATGATTGAAATTGATCTAAAACCCCCGATATTTACCTTTTCATCACTGGGTGCAGGGGAGGGGGGCGAAACCGCTCCTCGCCAAGGGTAATAATGAATGCTCTTTGAAAGGAACATCCATAGATTGGGGATGGCAGGTACACTCTAAAGCCATGTCCAACTCAATGCAGAAATAGTTTATTCCACAGAAAGATCACCTGGCCAGCTAATCCCACATCCAACCTGGGAGACAGTATAGGCATTAATATGCTCCTCTTACACTATTTACATATTATATAGACATATACACAGTGAGTTATTCTCACACATTATGTCCTGAATTATCTCATTACTTTTCCCTCTAATAATCCCATGGCACATGGATCTGCCCTCACTTTGTATAAGGATTAATAGGAGATTTGCCCCAAACAAAGATGGCCGCCCAGTAGTGTGTATCCAGTGACGTCATATTAAAGCGCAATTTACATTCTAGCTCCTAGTATCTGTGTTTGGAGGTTTGAGCAGCTGCTGTGTGCAGAGGTAGTGGATACAGTGCTGGGAAACACAGGGAGGAGCTGCCAGTCAGGTGACTATTGTTATATGATGAGCTTCCTATACAGTTACAGAAAGGAAATGTTCAAATATAATGTTCTATGTATCTAATGTGAGATCAATGGGAACTGCCTGTAATGTATGTGGGAAATATATATATAATGTATGGGGTAAATATACACCCCCTGTATATACTGTGTATATAATGTATGGGGGTAAATATACACCCCCCCTGTATATACTGTGTATATAATGTATGGGGGTAAATATACACCCCCTGTATATACTGTGTGTATAATGTATGGGGTAAATATACACCCCCTGTATATACTGTGTATATAATGTATGGGATAAATATACACCCCCTGTATATACTGTGTATATAATGTATGGGATAAATATACACCCCCTGTATATACTGTGTATATAATGTATGGGGTAAATATACACCCCCTGTATATACTGTGTATGTAATGTATGGGGGTAAATATACACCCCCTGTATATACTGTGTATATAATGTATGGGGTAAATATACACCCCCTGTATATACTGTGTATATAATGTATGGGGTAAATATACACCCCCTGTGTATATACTGTGTATATAATGTATGGGGCAAATATACACCCCCCTGTATATACTGTGTATATAATGTATGGGGTAAATATACACCCCCTGTGTATACTGTGTATATAATGTATGGGGTAAATATACACTCCCTGTATATACTGTGTATATAATGTATGGGGTAAATATACACTCCCTGTATATACTGTGTATATAATGTATGGGGTAAATATACACCCCCCTGTATATACTGTGTATATAATGTATGGGGTAAATATACAACCCCCTGTATATACTGTGTATATAATGTGTGGGGTAAATATACAGCCCCTGTATATACTGTATATATAATGTATGGGGTAAATATACACCCCCTGTATATACTGTGTATATAATGTATGGGGTAAATATACACCCCCTGTATATACTGTGTATATAATATATGGGGGTAAATATACACCCCCTGTATATACTATGTATATAATGTATGGGGTAGTGGATACAGTGCTGGGAGACACAGGGAGGAGCTGCCAGTCAGGTGACTATTGTTATATGATGAGCTTCCTATACAGTTACACAAAGGAAATATTCAAATATAATGTTCTATGTATCTAATGTGAGATCAATGGGAACTGCCTGTAATGTATGTGGGAAATATATATATATAATGTATGGGGTAAATATACACCCCCCTGTATATACTGTGTATATAATGTATGGGGTAAATATACACCCCCTGTATATACTGTGTATATATTGTATGGGGGTAAATATACACCCCCTGTATATACTGTGTGTATAATGTATGGGGTAGTGGATACAGTGCTGGGAAACACAGGGAGGAGCTGCCAGTCAGGTGACTATTGTTATATGATGAGCTTCCTATACAGTTACACAAAGGAAATGTTCAAATATAATGTTCTATGTATCTAATGTGAGATCAATGGGAACTGCCTGTAATGTATGTGGGAAATATATAATGTATGGGGTAAATATACACCCCCTGTATATACTGTGTATATAATGTATGGGGTAAATATACACCCCTGTATATACTGTGTATATAATGTATGGGATAAATATACACCCCCTGTATATACTGTGTATATACTGTATGGGGTAAATATACACCCCCTGTATATACTGTGTATATAATGTATGGGGTAAATATACACCCCCTGTATATACTGTGTATATAATGTATGGGGCAAATATACACCCCCTGTATATACTGTGTATATAATGTATGGGGTAAATATACACTACCCTTTATATACTGTGGATATAATGTATGGGGTGGGGTAAATATACACCCCCTGTATATACTGTGTATATAATGTATGGGGTAAATATACACCCCCTGTATATACTGTGTATATAATGTATGGGGTAAATATACACCCCCTGTATATACTGTGTATATAATGTATGGGGGTAGTGGATACAGTGCTGGGAAACACAGGGAGGAGCTGCCAGTCAGGTGACTATTGTTATATGATGAGCTTCCTATACAGTTACACAAAGGAAATGTTCAAATATAATGTTCTATGTATCTAATGTGAGATCAATGGGAACTGCCTCTAATGTATGTGGGAAATATATATATAATGTATGGGGTAAATATACACCCCCTGTATATAATGTATGGGGTAAATATACACCCCCTGTATATACTGTGTATATAATGTATGGGGTAAATATACACCCCCTGTATATACTGTGTATATAATGTATGGGGTAAATATACACCCCCTGTATATACTGTGTATATAATGTATGGGGTAAATATACACTACCCTTTATATACTGTGGATATAATGTATGGGGTAAATATACACTACCCTTTATATACTGTGGATATAATGTATGGGGTAAATATACACCCCCTTTATATACTGTGGATATAATGTATGGGGTAAATATACACCCCCTGTATATACTGTGTGTATAATGTATGGGGTAAATGTACACCCCCTGTATATACTGTGTATATAATGTATGGGGTAAATATACACCCCCTGTATATACTGTGTATATAATGTATGGGGTAAATATACACCCCCTGTATGTACTGTGTATATAATGTATGGGGTAAATATACACTCCCTGTATGTACTGTGGATATAATGTATGGGGTAAATATACACCCCCTGTATGTACTGTGGATATAATGTATGGGGTAAATATACACCCCCTGTATGTACTGTGGATATAATGTATGGGGTAAATATACAACCCTCTGTATGTACTGGGAGTTGCAGCCCTTTAGCTAATGAGGCTGATGGGGGAACTTTGGAGCCAGCCAGTAGCTGTGGGGGCATTGAAGCGGCCGCTTCAGGGAGCATGTAGCCGACCGCCCTGGGCTGTATGAAGGCGGCCGGCTCAAGGAACGTGGAGGCGGCCGGCTCAGCGATCGTGGAGGCGGCTGCCCTGGGGAGAATGGAAGCGACAGGCAGGGGCAGCACGCGAGGAAGCATTGATCTCAGTGCAGCTCCTCTCTGATCCCTCCCGCTGTCTAGTGATGCGTATGTTTGTCTGTGTGTATGTGTATGTCAAAGTGTGTATGTGTCCATGTCAGTGTTTGTGTGAGTATGTGAGAAAATGTGTGTCTGTTTAGGTACCTGCACCCCTCTGATCACATGAGGGGTGTTTTTACTCCCCTTTTTCCTTATGCCGTGCCGATTTTGCCGTGGCGTGTCCTGTCTCCGTGGCTGAGATCATCAGTCTTTATGATCTCCGCTAAACAAATGCTTTCCCATAGGAATGCATTGGGAGGATATTGCGCATGTTCTCTATGGGTAACATTCAGCACCTCCATGCAGAGCACTGACACAGATCTCTCTAGTGGCCGTCTGTGACTGTCGCTAGAGGTGTTACTAGGCAGCAATGAAGACATTTACTTTTCTCTGAAAATCTATCGGAACTGCACTGGACATGTGGCTGGCTGTGGCCATGGAAACCCTGTATAGATCATAGGTCACCTAATCGTAATAAGCCATCATAGGTCCCCGAGGCCATTTCATTCTGCTACACCCGCACTGAGTCAACCATACTCTGACAGCACCCAACGTACTACCACTCAAACAAGACGCTTCTGCCCTATCTACATAGTTACTGCCGGTCTCATCCTAGGCCTTAGATCATGCAACGTTCTAGGAGATTACTGAACCAACACGACTGGTACCTAATGTTATCTTACTCTTTCCTTTTCCATCATGTTATTGCTTTGCATTACTTGTATGATTCATAATATTTATTTGTAGCATTCCTACCATACTACTTTCAAATACCATTGGATTTAGTGAAATACTGTGTAATATCTACAATAACTGCATCCTTTTATTATTGGTATGAATGTGCCGTATTATGCTGTATCGTGTATATCTTCTCTCTTTACTTTCTGTTAAATCTTGATCAATAAAAAGCAAATTAAACAAGAGAATCATAAAAGCTTTCCCTCCCGGCCCCTTGGTAACCCACCTTGGTCTCCTGCAAGTCATCCAAAAAATAAAATAATAATTAGACTTTCATCGTAAACTATTCTAGCAACCTACGTATATATCCTACCATTACTTTGTGTCACTTTATCCCACTCCCTGTAGAATGTTAGATCGCTGGAGCACGTCTTCCTGTGCGTCCAATTCATCTGGTTATAAAATCTTGTTTGTTAGTCCACCCATTGTACAGGGCTGCTGAATATGCTGGCCCTTTATAAATAATAAATTATAATGTATATAAAATGTATAGGAGGTAAATATACAGCCCCAGGTATATGCCGTGTATATAATTTATTTATTGTATCCATTGAAATACACTATGTACCTGTTATTACAGAATATTCTAATTCCTGTTCTCAGGCTGCCTGATCGGCTTAATGATGACAAACACAAACAGGAATCCGATGACCGAGAGGATCCTGGATCTGACCCTGGAGGTCAACTACCTGCTAACTGGAGAGGTGAGGGATTCTGGGAATGTCACAGCAACTACACACTTTTATACTGTGCTTTAACATGGATATTCTGAGACTTAATATGGAGAGATTTGTAAAGTAGGTACTGGGTAGATATTTTATAAACGTGATTAATAAATCTATTATAGTAGCCAGGTAGACCCTGTGTGAATGTAGAAATATAACATATAAGATTGTGGGTCATTAGCGGTGCTGGATTGCCTTACTGAGATTTGTGGAATTTTTTTCTTGTTTGGTCATGTTATAATGTGGGGATTGGGATGATTATAAGACATGATTAAAAACAGGTAGCCCTAGCATAGCTTCTCTCAGCCCTGTGTACTATACAGGACTTTATGATGGAGAAGGCCGACATCACACACACAGGCACGGGTAGCAGTGACAGAGGTGGGTGGTGGAAGCACATACCAGCAGGATTAAGGTGATGCCCCTTCCAGGAAAAAGATAGTTGTAGCGGAGCTGCAATATTAAATCCCAAGATCTCCGCTGGTACAGAAAGTAATCCAAAGTAATGCCCTGGAAAGTAAGGCGATATCCCAAATCCCCCAGTAACCGGACGAAACACAGTTCTGGGAGTCAAGTGAACTTTTATTCACAGGTCCCAGTATTTATGACAAGTCCCCATGCAAGGGGTTTCCCTACTGAGTCCCCATTCCAGGGGTTGTACAGTAGGGGTCTACATGGGGGACTTAACAACCCGGACATTTCTCCCATCACGCACTGATGCACGAGAGGGATACTCCCACTGGAATATCCAATTAAGGGGATTATATTTCCGTGCTGCAGAACTAACATTTTACATAAAAATACATAACTTGTACATTATTCATTCTATATTACCGAACAAGCGTTCGGTAGATAGCTGGGGTCTGAGCGCACCTTTCGTGAAAGTACCGCTCAGATCCCAGCATAAATAACCGAACGCCGCACGAAATACACTTTTACATCATATTCGCCTAAAAGTACCGAATTCCTATTGGGATCCCAATACCGAAAGACCGGGGCTCCCGAATGGCCTGGAAGTCCAGCGGTGTTCGCGCTGTCGAGTAGCCGTTTTTAGTTCCAGGCGCTCAACGACCAAACACGGCTGGGCTAACAAAGGATCCAAGATGGCCGACCGCTGCATGGTAGGTAGCCGAACAACGGCCACCTAGGAGCGCAATTAACTACCAATTGCAACAATGTTAATGGGAGCCACACGACCCTCTGTGTGTGGGCTCCCGTTCGGTACCTTATTCGTTTACGAATACCCTTTATTGTAAATCACACAAATACATCTGTACACAAAATAAGAGCAGACAACCTCCTGATGTTATGCAATAAGTCTTAAAGTGGCTAGGTTTGCCACAATAGTGAAACAGCTTTATAAATAACTCCAAGGTAACAAAGTGACGTTCTGTGTAACCAGTGAAGTATAGGCTTATAGGAGAGATCCTTTAATACACGTTTCTTTATGTGCAGGATTACATTGTTGTGAAGAGATCTGACGATCCTACAATACAGAGAAGCAGTCCCTGTGTGTTAAGAGGATCCTGCAAGACACAGAGCTCCAGCACGGTGTGTCCACCTCACTCACTGATACATGAGGGAAACAATGAGCAAAACATCCTGGAACTGACCAATCAGATCATCCACCTGCTGACTGGAGAGGTGAGGCTGCTGGGAATGGGACATCATAGAGTAAAACCAAGGGATGTGTCTGGATGGTGACTGGATAAAGATGTTGGGATCTCACTGTCTGTTATTTCTTGTAGGTGTGGAAGCATTTAAAAGGGCAAAAGGAAACTTCCAATGAAGTGATGATGGAGAGTCACCACCCCCTCATCTCCTTGGGTGAGACAAAGTTTAATGAGCATTGTGTTTGGTTATAGAGCAGATATCATTCACTTATATCATCAAACACCCAGTACACAGTGTGACATCTGTACAGTTATTACAGTTATTATTTTGTAAGCTGGAGGGACAAATTGATTTGGTTTATTTTTTATATGGATCACAGAGATGGTTATACAAGTCGCATGTGGTGGCCACTGAATGTTTGCAATTCCTCCCCTCCAGTTAGGATGTTCTCTGAAGTCACTGGGAATTCTGATGGATTTAACTACTAGTTCAGTCATTGGGTATTCTTCCTGGACAGTGCTGCACATTTCAGGAAAGTTGAGGCCTACTGGACTAGAAACCATCCTGGTTTATCCAGCCTCTGCAAGTTCTCCTGCGCGCTAGGTAGAAATTCACTTTGCAGATCAATGAAGACTTGCTAAATAGTATGTCACACATAGAAGTATAACTATAACAGTATTTTTAGTAAAGAGTTAATGTATTTATTAAACAAATCTTTAAAAAGTAAAAACAATCATATGTTCATGTAAGACTCAGTAGAGATGCACAGCCGCTTACAAGATAAAGTGGTGAGTACTACGGTACATGTACCCGCTACTCACAACCACGCTTAATCACTGAGGAATCTCCCAACAAAGTGTTGGCGTCTCTGCGGTCTTCCTTCTCATGTGCAGTCAGGTTGCGGTCTCGGCTCTCGCACGGTACTGTTTGTCTTTCCCGGCTGCCACAGTTGTTTAAGCTCCGCTCACCTGCGTACGTATTGCATCACGTCATCGATGCGTTTGGCCGAAAGAGATCGGATTCGTCAGGACGTTTTCAGCTAATTCAGCCCTTCCTTGTGCAGGCTATATTAGGGCAAAGTTAACAATTTTCAATTGGTCTATTCTTGAAACCTTAATTTGCATATTCACCTCTGAGTCTCTATAGCAGTAGTGCTTTTTCCATGATGTCATTATATATACAGTCCATTCTGTTGCAACTCTAATAACAGTTATTAAACCGCTCATAAATAATAGCTGGTAAATTTCATCCAGTATTGTTTGTGCTAAAATAAGCACATTAATTATCCATCATACAAATTGATCATAATCCTACACAGTAACTGGTAAATTATATGGAGTTTTGTTTGTGCAAAATAAGCATATTAGTAGTCCATCATACAAATCAGTCATAAGTAACATTCATTACACAAGAGTTTCCATAATATAAAATTCATAAGGAAATAAAGGGAACTAGTAAGGTTAGATACAGCAGTATTATAGAACTTAATCATATAATCACATCATAACAGTCTTTAGTAATAGCACCCGTGGATAATAAAGTGTCACCATTCAAAAATCCAACCCTTAAAAAGTGTAGAAAAGGCTTCGATAAATACAATATAAAATTACTATTCAGATCTGAGATGGACATTTGTGACTAATGGATATGCCATTACAGTGAAAAAAATTCAAAATCTATAAAAAAATATATGCCAAAAGTGCAGAAAAAAACACAAAAAGTAAATAAATAAGTATAAAAATTTTAACATTTTAAAAATGGCATATCTCAGAATCATTATCCAGTCCATGGGAATAAGGGTATTTAATTTGGATTTCCATCTCATCTATGTTTTTCCTAACTCCTGTATAAAATTGCCCCCTCTCCAATTCTTTTTAACTTGCTGGATTCCTGTGAACTCTAATAGGGATGGATCTGAATTATGGACTTCCTTAAAATGCAGAGACATAACATAATTTATCAACCCGTTACAGAAACAGGACCTGGGATAACAATGGCAACTTTATTATTCCTTAACCATTTATGACAGAATTATTCCATCATGGATGTCCTATGTATTCCGTCATGGATGCCCTAGATCCTATTTAAATTGTACGGCACCCCACCTGCAATAAAAATTGTTAGGAAAAAATGTCTAGTGTAGACACTCCCGATGCAGTGCCCTTTTCTATATATCCAGTCTTAGATTAGAAAGTTACGTTACACATGTGTAATGTCCTTATTGCATGTTTTTGTACCTGCTTTTCATTCACAATGCCCTTGTGATGCATTATATTGTCGCAGTAAAATAACATTAATAAAACAAAACAGGAAGAGAGATCACTGCTTAAGTAACCACCTGAGACATCTATAGCTAGCCTGGTAAGTCCACTGCAATTAAGGAAATGTTCTAATTTTAAGTGTTTTCTTTCCAGTAGATGGTTCCATAAACAGAAATGAAATCAGTGGATTGTACACTTCAGTTTCTTCTCCAGATTATATAACCAAATATAACGAAATCACAAGTGATCAAAAAATAAACAGTGTGGCAGTCGGTACACCAAGCAGTAAATCTTTGAGTCTTGAAACTACAGAATCCGAGGAAGTAAATCTAAGAGATATTAATTCGCCCATAGAACATATACAGACTGAAGATCCATCTCCTCATATTAAGGAGGAATCAGACTCGTATGAGGAAGGAAATCTCCCAGACACAGACATATATACACCCACAGAAGATGCACAGATAGAATATCCACCTGCTCATATTAAAGAGGAATCAGACTTGTCTGAGGGAGGAAATCTCCCAGACACAGACTTCTATACACCCACAGAAGATGCACAGATAGAATATCCATCTACTCATATCAAGGAGGAATCAGACTCTCGGGAAGATGGAAATCTTGGTGAAGCTTCCATTTGCACAACCAAGGGAGATGCACAAATGAACTATACACCAAAATATGAATCTGCATCAAATGAAAAACAAATTCCTATAAACACTGATATTCATACAGGCACAGACCATAGACAGACAGAATATCCACCTGACCTTATTAAGGTAGAATCAGCCTCATGTGAAATCAACACTCTCTCCAGTATCAAGGTTTATACACCTACAAGAGATAAACAGATGGACTATACATCAAATAATGAATCCGGATCAAACAAAGAGGAAAATCTCAGAGACATAGATATTTATGCACCCACAGAACATACACAGACACAGGATGGAAATTTCACCACCTTAGACATTCTTACCCTCACTTGTCATACTGAAATACAAAACTCTTCTGAATGTAGAAAATGCTTCACTGAAACTTCAGATATTAACAAACATGTAAGGATTCATACAGGAGAAGAAACATCAAATCACAATAAACATATGAAGATTCACATGGGAGATAAATCATTTTCCTGTTCAGAATGCGGAAAAAGTTTCGGGCACTCTTCTAGTCTTAAGGCTCATCTAAAGATTCACACCGGAGAGCAATCCTATTCATGTTCTGAATGTGGGAAATGTTTTGCTCAAATGTCAGCTCTTAAGACACATCAAAGGATTCACACAGGAGAGAAACCATTTTCATGTTCAGAATGTGGAAAATGTTTTAGTAACTCTTCCTCTCGTAACAAACATCAAAGGATTCACACTGGAGAAAAACCATTTTCTTGTTCTGAATGTGGAAAATGTTTTGCTTGCATGTCAACTCTTAAGAGACATCAAATGACTCACACAGGAGAGAAAGTATTTTCATGTTCAGAATGTGGAAAGCGTTTCAGTGACTCTTCCACTCTTAAGATTCATATGAGGATTCACACAGGAGAGAAATCATATTCATGTTCTGAATGTGGGAAATGTTTTGCTCACTTGTCAACTCTCAAGACACATCAAAGGATTCACAGAGGAGAGAAACCATTTTCATGTTTTCAATGTGGGAAATGTTTTGCTCAGTTGTCAACTCTCAAGACACATCAAAGGATTCACAGAGGAGAGAAACCATTTTCATGTTCTCAATGTGGGAAATGTTTTACTCGCATGACAATTCTTAAGAAACATCAAAGGATTCACACAGGAGAGAAACCATTTTCATGTTCAGAATGAAAAAAATGTTTAGTCACCTGACAACCCTTCTGGCACGTCAGATGATTCCCACAAGAGAAAAAACTATTTCTTGTTAAGAATGTCTGAAATGTTTCATTGTTCAATGCTACACTCCAATTAATACATTATTTAGAAATAAGATCCATTGAATGCTACTCTGCACCACTGCGCTGTGTGCCCGTCCACCTAATATTTGCCTGCAGAAGAGAAGGGGGTAAAACAAAATACCAGGGGTGGCCAAACTTCATACCTGTAAGAACCTCCTAAAAAGTTTAATGGAGTATTTCACATGAAAATTATTTGATTTATATTTTTTATTAATATGATTTATTAATTATACAAAAAAAATTAAAGGTTACAAAATTAATAAGTGAGAATAAAATCATTAAACATGTATTTTTTTTATTGTATTTTTGTCAATCTTTCTTTTATTGATGCATAGTGATTATTCATTTATTGCTTTTGTTCTCACTTATTAATTTTGTTTTGTTGATTTTAGTTTGTTCTATAATAGTGGAATACAATGCAGAAAAAAGGAGTCACAGCAATAGTACATATGTCACTAATGCAGTAGTTGGAGTACTGAGATATACTCTTGCATAGGCCGACCCATTTTTATAATAAACAGGTTAGGTAAGCATGATATAGCCCCCCCGAGCCCATGTGTCTCGTACCCCCAGTGTCCCCATGTGTCTCGTGTCCCCATGTGTCTCGTACACCCCCAGGGTTCCCATGTGTCTCATACCCCCAGTGTCCCCATGTGTTTCATTCCCTCTAGCACCTCCATCCATGTGTCTCATTCCCCCAGTGTCCCTATTTGTCTCATACCCCCAGTGTGTCCATATTTCTCATGTCAGTCTACTATGATCATTTGATACTGGTCAGTATGGCTCAATTAAGTTTTGGTTTAATTTGTCGACATACATCTGTTCCCGATCATTCTTCTCTTAACGTGATTATAGCGTTAAGGAAGCAGAGATCCCATTTGCTAGTTAATTATTAGAAACTGTTTTAATAATTTTTTGTTGATAAACTGACTATCGCTAATATGATTCAGTGCCAGAAGACCCATAATAAATATAAAAATATTGTACTTAATAAAAAAAAAAAGACCCAAATTAAATATTAAAAAAAATGTGTATTAAATGAATATTACAGAAAGAAAAATAACAGGTTAATAATATTTCTAAGAGAATTGATGTGAAGAATGACTGCAAGATGTGTGTAGTATGGATGAGTGACGAGGTCTGACTGTCCTTAATAATTATATACGCTTTCCTTTCTCCCGAAAAGGCTCTGGCTTTAACTGGCTTTGATGAAAATTTGTGCTAAACCAGCAAATAGATCTTAAACAGAAAACTGGTAGAGAATAGCGTAAAACCTTATTATATATTTTAAGGTGTAAAATCTTATATGGAACACTCACATGATCCAGAGCTAATCCACCTAGCTCTGGTGTGTATAGCTTTTAGGTCCATTTGGGCGACCTCTCCCCTCTCCCGTATTAGTTATTTTAATGGATCCCTTTATCCAGTGATGTATCTAAGAGTGAAAGGAAATTTTGGAAATTGTGTAACATTGCTTTAAGAGAGAAATTTCTGAGTAATAAGTTATACTCACAAACATGGAGCCTAAATCCTGGCTCAGTATTGTAGCTGTGTATGGCTGAGGACCACACCACCTTCACCATTCGTTGGCTCCCTCAGTTCTGTACGATAGGCTTCTTAATCCCTGCTCTCATGTTTATATGCCTCCTCCTAATTTTCATTACTTACAGCTGATCCCTTTGTGCTCCAAACCTAATTCTGATTCTTGCTTGCAAGTGACCTCAGTGGCGGCCGCGTATTACGTTCCAAAGTCGGACGCATGGTACAAGTCAGAAGTGGAATTTTACATATGGCTGCCGGCATCGGCTGGTGGAAAGCATAAAATGGCTGCCGCGTAGGCTTGGAACGCAAGGAAGTAGCTGCTGACCAGAACCAGAAGTGACATTGCGGCTAAACCAGAAATGACGCTACGGCCGGGTTACAAATCTGAAAAAGAGGCTTGGAACACGTAAAAATAATTATATAGATATACATGTAGACTTCAAATATATTAATATGTATATATATATATATATATATATTTTTTTTTTTTTTAAATTCAACGTGCATATTTACGTAATTTTTTACATAATTAAGTAATTTTATTGATTGCAATTTGAGGGACCTGCCTGAGAACCTAGGTCAAAAGTCCAGAAAATGTTATTTGCCAGCACTATATTTAACCCTGTAACTTTGCACGACACCCTAAAACCTGTAAATTGGGGGGATACTATTTTACTCTGGAGCAGGGCCGGACTGGGAGAAAAATTCGGCCCGGGCATTTTTGTAGCACAGCGGCCCACTAAGAAGGGGGCGGGGCAGAGAGGGTGGGTTTCGTCATCACCAATGACAAACACGCCCCCTTTCAAAGTAAGCGTTGGGTCAATGCTCTTCCAGGGTAGAGCTCTGTTAAAGAAAGAAAAAAAAACTGTATTTGTTCTGCACAGTGCAAGCAAATTTAATAACATGTTTGCACTGTGTTTCCTTGCAACTTGTCTCTGGTGTCTCTATAAATGGATACCAGGAGACAAAAGGGCCAGAAAAGAGTGTTGTGCATGTGTTTGGAGCCTGCTTGTGGGATTGTGTGTGTGTAGTGTGAGCTGATTGTGGTGTGGTATTGTGTAATAAGGTCGGTTTTAGTCATGTTGTGTTTGTGGTGTAATGTAATGCATATGTGGCTAGGGACTGTAGAGAATGTGTGTATAGGAGATGTAGTGTGTGTGTGTGTGTATATAGGTGATGTAGGGGTTGTAGTGAGTGTGTGTTTAGGGGTGTAGCATGTGTTTGTTTACAAGGAATCTAGTGTGTATAAGGGATCCAGAGTGTGTATGTTAGGAATGTAGTGTGTGTGTGTGTATACAGGAGTCTAGTGCGTGTTTGAAGGACCCAGAATGTGTAGGAGATCTAGTGAGTGTGTGTATATAATGGAATCAGAGTGTATATAGGGATCTAGTGTGTGTATATGATCCAGAGTTGGGTAAGGGATTCTAGTGTGTGTCTGGAATGTAATGTGTTTAGGGGTTCAGTGTGTGTGAGGGGTGCTGTAGTGTGTGTGTGTGTGTGTGTATATATATATATATATATGTGTTTGGAAGTATTGTGTGCTTGTGTGTGTGTTTGGTGCAGTGGGTATCTGTGAAGGGTGCAGTGTGTGTGTGATGGATGCTGTGTTTGAGGGGTGCTGTGTGTGATGATGCTGTTGTATGTGTGTGAGGGTACTGTGAGTGAGAGTGGTAAGTGTGATGTGTGTGAGGGTGCTGAGTGTGATGTGTGTGAGAGTGCTGAGTTTGATAAATGTGATGTGTGTGAGAGTGCTGAGTGTGACGTGTGTGAGGATGCTGTGGGTGAATGTTAAAGGGGATTGTGTGTTGGGGGGTAAAAAAAACAACTAATAAGCATGCATTATATCCCCCCCTCCCTTCTTACCTTTAGCCTGGGAGGCGGGGGGGGTCAAGGACGGTGGTACCTGGGAGAGGGGCGGCACTCTCACATCATCCCTAGTGGGTGAGATCTTTGATCTCCCCACCGGCCCTTCATGGAATACAGCGGGCCGGCGCTCGGATAGTGCCGGCCCTGCATAGACCGGCAGGACCTCAGCCCATGGTATCGCGGCTCACCGGACATTTGCCCGGTGTGACCGATGGCCAGTCCGGGCCTGCTCATGAGACTTCACCGAACACAAATATTAGTATTTCAAAACAGTCAAACATATCACAGCGATGATATAGTGAAAGTGAAGTTTTTTGCATTTTTCTCACACAAACGGCACTTTCACTATTGTTGTGATACGTTTTACTGTTTTAAACACTAATATTTGTTAGGGATGTGCCTGGGGAACATTTCCGGTGAGGGGCGTGGCCTGGACACCAACCAAGACGGTTCTTAAACACTGAGCTCTGCCGCACCCATACCTGCAAACAGGGATCCCACATAAGCCAGTGTGACAAATGGGTCGCAACCGCTGCTCTGAACACCCGCAAACCCAAAGGGACCCCCAACCAGGCCCGCAACAAGGACTGATGGACGGCTTTTTACAGCCGCCGCGGAATGGCGGCGGGAACGAGAGCCCGGGCCCGGCCGCACAACATCCGACCTAGGCTACGGGGGGAGACACCACGGCGCTAGAAAGGATTGGGGAAGAGCTGAGAACCATGGCGGCGGCCATGGCGACTAAAGTGGACCTCCTAACACTCACTACCACCATACAAGATGCTCTGAGGGCAGAAATGGCGGGGCTCCGCATGGAGGTAACAGCCCAAGCAGGCCGCATCCAGACTTTAGAACGCACCACAGAAACTCACTCCACCAGGATCAACGCGACGGACGTCGCCATAGCCAGGCAGGGAGACATGATTCTACATATGCGCAGAAGCCTGGAGGACCTCGATAATAGAGGCCGCAGATGCAACATACGGATAAGGGGGATCCCCGAAGCTGAAGAGGGAGAAAACGCAGAAGAGGTATTAACAGGCCTATTTTGCAACATCCTATACACCGATGCACCGCAAACGATTGAATTTGAAAGGGCACACAGAGCCCTACGCCCGCGCGCTGCTGAGGATGGCCCAAGAGATATGATTTGTTGCCTGCATTCATTCCCAATCAAAGATGCGATAATGCGGAAGGCTCGGGAACGTCCCACGTTGCCCTTCCAAGGCGCTCAAGTATCCCTATGCAATGACCTCTCTCCATACACGCTGGAAGCCCGGCGAGCACTTAAACCGGTAACTACCGCACTACGTGAACGCAACATTAAATACAAATGGGGATTCCCCTTCGCCTTAATGGCCAGACACCAAGACAACTGGCTGGCATCTAGATGGCCTGATGAAGTACCGAGACTCCTCGAAACCCTGAATATTCCTCACATCCTGTTTACTGACTGGGTCTTGGATGCCCCCACGCCGGCCCAAAGGCAACAAATAGCAGCTTGCAGATGAGGAGGGCGATCACCGCCAGGACCGCCGCCAAGGAGACACATGGGGAGAGCAGGCTGAGTGAGTACAGTACATTACGATGGTGACCGGCCCTCGGCAGCTCCCGGAAAGGTAACACACTACCTCTGATTAAGACACGGGTCCCCCCCTCCACACAACAGAATCCTGGTGCTAGGGGGAGCCACACGAGACTGCCTAGAGGCTTCTTTGGGGATGGAAGACATACCATCAACCTATGTCCTTCCCGTACATGTACATAGCAATAATAATGACTTCTTTGGGAGGGGGGATAACGGGGGAGGGGGAATTGACCACATATGTTCAAGATGGCCATGAGTCGAGACTACTGGGACAAAGGTGTAGGAGATTTGGTCTTAACCATGCTCTTAAGGGCCACAATACATGGACCTCCTGTTACAAACCGAGATCAAGCTTGACCCATGCTCTAGCGACACACTCCACGCACACACGACTCGAAAGTCGCATGTCATATGACCATATCGTGCCCACCAAGGGAGGCCTTCCCAAACATTCTTTTTTGGGGGAGATGGAAACTGGGACTCCGGAGGGTATCTAAGCCCACCTCTATACGGTCAATCGCATCCCCCCTTAAACACCTTTTCGAGGTACAGGCTCAGGGGGGGAAGGGGAGCACACCGGGACATTGGGACAATGCACATCTGGAAATAACCGGATACATAATCAACATCAAACCACCATACTCCCGCGAGATGTAATATTGATATTGCCATATGAAGTTAGACCCCCTGAGGCCACTGGCTCTCCCGCCAAGATACGATGTGACATACGCTCATGGGACATAATACACAGTCCTGGACCAAGCGAATAATGCTTCACTTGACCCAGACAGAAACACGGGGAGCCTCTTGTCAAATCACCGGATCTGAACACTTAAATAGTAATTCGCCAAGGTCCTATTTAAGGCTGACAGGCAATGTCCCATTAAGGTCTTATTCCATGTTTAAATGAATGTTGTATAATGTCGCTCTCTCCAAATATGTAAGGGGAGGACTAGAGATGATCAATCGATAGGGCGCACTGGGAGCTTGAAACACAGAAAAAGACTGATGAATGAGCACAATAGACACGTGGGGACAGCTCAGAGACAAATCTCGGGAAGCAGGGGAAGGAGATCCAGGGACAAGGACCCATTGAGACGCATGTACACAGACAATCTTGACCGACAAGTAGGGCAGGAGAGGGAAGTAGGGAGAGGGTGGATACACCACAACCAACCTCTACCCTAAAAGCTATAGGAAGAAAGGGGGGGGAGAAGGGGAAAAAAAAAGTGGGGGGCAAGAGGGAATACTAACAAGAATACTAATTAACGTTTAAGAAAAAAAAAAAGAGGCGCACACACGCTAGCTAACTCAGGGACTGCCTACGATGAACGCAACTATCACGGACTTAAGGGAAAGGATGAGATCTAGACGGCTGATTACTGATAGAGAACAGAACATATTACCGAAGCTCGGGGTACCTCCATCACCTTCCCCCCCAAGTGACGACCCCATGTACAAACCTGGGAAGCCCAGAACTGGACTATGACCGTTGACTCCCCCTGCATCCTGAGAACTAGAGAGGCGACGTATGGGAGGGGAGAGGAAAATGCGCTAGGCGAAGGACTGATAGTGGCAAAACCTCGTTAGCACGCATATGAGAAATGATTAACTGCCTCGCGACAGGGAACGGGGAGGGGGGGACCTGTGTAGGGGATCGAGAAACAGGCCATGGGAGACACCCTGGCTCACACCTGCATGCCGAGAAGCCGGGACAGAACGCAGACACTTATGACCTGACTTATGAAAACTTCACCCAATATTGTTACACTGTTAATTATGGCTATTAGCCAAATGTTTGAGATGGATCTTTTATACTACCCTAGAATGTTAGCAACTATGGGAAGCGGTGGACATGAGCTCTCCGAACGAGACACACACTCTTTTCCACTTGGATGGGAACGGACCTGTCAGGCTCCCGCGGGCGGCTGCGAGGGGAGGCTGCACTCCGATCGCAGTACTCACCCTCCAGCCGTCCGCGGTCCCCTCCGCCTCGTGGGTACGGCGAGCGGCATCCTTCCAGCCTCGGATGCCGCCCGCCGTTCCCTCCACGTCCCCCAGCGGCAGCATGCATGACGCTGCACGCTGGGAGACCGCCCAGGTTTATACACGCCGGGGTCAGTCACCTGACCCGGCGTTAAAGGCACAGTGCCTCAATCACAGTGGGAGGTCTAATATCTCCCACGTGTGATTGTTAATTCTGATTGGAAATTATCCAATCAGAATTAACCTGATGGTTTAAATACTTACCTTTCCTGTTCCTCCCTGCCCTGTTGTGGTCTTTGCTTGCTAGTATTGCTACTTACCTTGTGTTTCTGGTTACGTACTCTCTGGCTTGTTTATCTGACGCTGTGACTTTCTCCTACCCTTTGACCTCGGCTCGTTTCACGTTATTCTGTCTTCTGGTTCCCCTTTACTCGGCTTGTCTCCTGACTATTCTGTGTGTGCTTAGCCCGGCCACTCTAAGGTCCGGTACGGCATCTTTTGTGTGTGTGTGTGTGTGTGTGCCAGCGTGTTGGGTTCCCTGAATCGTGACAGGACCACTCACCTCAAACCACACTTGTGCCTACCCATGTACGGCGGAACCCTATGGGCTCTGGCCTTTCGGTCAGGTTACCGAGGCAGACCCACAGTGTTGCCGACCGTAGCACGAGCCACCTCTCCACCAGGGGTGGAATACCTGAGATACCTACTATCTCGGTTGCAGTACTCGACTACTTTCCTTTTCTCTCACTCTAACTTTCATCTACGCTCTCTTACTCACTCAATCCTATCTCACCCCTCTCCCAACCCAACCTCACTACTACTCTCTTGCCTGGGGGGCGCGACGGGGGTCCGGGTCCCTACCGCGAGCTGATCACGGCGGGGGGTGGACACCAAACAATGGCCAGCAGCGATGTACCCAGAGCCGCGAGAGCGTATCGCCCCGCTCCCTTGACTGTCCTCACCCTCAACTGTAGGGGCCTGAATGTACCTGAACGAAGAACTCACATGTTGCGAGAGATGAGGAAAAGGCACATATCAATCGCACTATTACAGGAAACACATTTCCGAAAGAACGCTGCACCCAAACTACAGAATAAATAGTACCCGATCAACCACTTCTGTGATCACCCTACGACCCGGAGGGCGGGCGTTGCCATTTTAATCGCTGGAGACCTGGAATTCCAACCGCTGGACAGCCTGCAGGATGACCAGGGCCGCTTCCTATTTTTGAAGGGGACAATTGCGGGGATGCTCTACACATTCGCTAATATCTACACACCCAGGACTACGCTAAACAAGCTTAAAGGCTTCTCCGAGGGCACGCTAATCTTTGGGGGCGACCTTAACGCAACCTTAAACCCCATCGTAGACTCGTCGACGGGCCACAGTAGCATCACCCAACTTAATATACGCTCCATACAGAGGACCTTAGGAGACATGGATCTTGTGGACTGCTGGAGGACCCTCCATCCCACCACTAGGGACTATACCTACTACTCCGCGCTGCATAATAGGTACTCACGTATCGATTACATCTTCATAAGACAAATAGGATTAACATGCCTACTCTCCGCCAAACTTGACCCAGCGACGTGGTCAGACCATGGCCCCGTCACCATCGAGCTCGAATCACCACTCTTCCGACCCTGCACATGGACTTGGAGACTCAACGAAGCCCTCCTTCTTGATCCTGAGGCTCGTGGGCAGGTAACCAAAGAACTGACACACTACTTCCAGGAAAATGACACACCAGAAGCCTCACCGTATGGGAAGCCCACAAATGCGTCATCAGGGGCACACTCATCCGAATAGCCTCCAAAAAGAAAAAGGTAGCTACTCGAGAAATGGCAGAGCTCTACAAGTCCATAGCAACACTAGAACAACAACACAAGAGGACCCAGCTAATGGAAACGTACGGAGAATTAATGCAAGCCAGACGCCAACTGAGAGATCTCCTTACAAAACGCCACCTGCGATCTTTACAACAATCCAAGGTATTCTTTTACGCCCATGCCAACAAGGGTGGCAGATACCTAGCACGGCTCCTGAAAGGCAATGCCCCTCGCAAGCAGTTCCGCAACCTGCGCCTCCCTTCGGGCGCCACGACTGCATTTCCGGACCTAATAGCTGAAGAATTCAGTCGCTAATACCAATCGCTATACAACCTACAGGACCGGGACAGACGGGAGGACAGGGAAGCAGAACACAGAAATACTTAGGAGATACCGTGACGAAAACAATACGCCCAGACGCAGCAGAAGAGTTGGACGCCACGATTACAGCGGAGGACATCCAGGCAGCCCTGAAATCTGCTAAAACGGGAAAAGCCCCAGGCCCAGATGGCCTCTCATCAGGATATTATAAAACCTTCTCATCAATCCTGTTGCCATGGCTGACTAAAGCTATTAACGCAGTGGCCGAGGGGGAAGCGTTTGGAAGAGAATCCCTGGCAGCCATAATAACTGTACTACCGAAACCAGGGAAAGACCCAATGGCCTGCGGCAGCTACCGCCCGATATCGTTGCTCAACGTGGACACTAAACTGTTCACTAAAGTTCTGGCGACTAGGCTCCAGAGAGCCCTCCCATCACTGATTCATGTGGACCAAACAGGGTTTATACCCGGTCGGGAAGCACGAGACAGTACCCTGCGGCTGTTTGCAATACAACACAGAGCAAGAGCGACGCGAAAACAACTTCTATTACTCTCCACAGACGCCGAAAAGGCTTTTGACCGGGTGAAATGGCCCTATATGCTCGCTACACTAAGCCACATGGGGATGGGTCCCAGACTCCTCACGTGGATCCGCGCACTGTATAATAAACCACAGGCTGCGGTGAGGGTAAACGGAGCACTCACTGCGCAGTTTGAGATCTCCAACGGCACGAGGCAGGGCTGTCCACTATCACCGTTGCTGTTTGCCCTGTCTCTGGAACCACTACTACAGACGATCAGACAACACCCAGACATTCAGGGTTTCTCCTGGCAGGGAACGGAACATAAAGTGGCCGCATATGCGGACGATCTCATGTTTTTTGTTGTCAACCCTAGAATTACGATGCCCAACATCTTGGCGGTAACGGAACAATTTGGCAAAATGGCGGGTTTCAAACTTAACCTATGCAAATGTGAAGTGCTAAATGTCACCCTCCCGGAGGAAGAATACGCAACACTGGAATCCCTGTTTCCCTTCCGATGGTGCTTATGTAAAATGAAATACCTCGGGATATGGATAACGAAGGACCCGAACGACCTGTACTCACAAAATTTCACACCACTACTGAAAACTATACTGACGGACTTAAATAAATGGGCATATCCACATGTCTCCTGGCATGGACGAATTGCAGTCCTGAAAATGAACATCCTACCCAGACTCCTATATCCGTTCCAGACGACCCTGCTGGCAATACCTTCGTCCTTCTTTGCCAAATTGAAAGCAGAGGTCATCCGCTACATCTGGAGGGGTGAACGCTCGAGACTCCGTCATGAACTTCTATGCTTACCACGGCATAGAAGAGGCCTGGCACTACCCGATTTTAAACAATACCACCAAGCCACTGTCCTCCAATGCATCCTAGATTGGCACGCAGACCCGCAGCAGCGGAAACAATGGGTAAGCCTGGCACAAGAGGGACAAGGGGCACACCTACAGGCTGCAGTGTGGGGGAAATGGGCAAATGCGAACTTAGACCGGGAAAAAGAAGGAATTGTGGCACAAACGCTCATCAGCTGGAGACGCATGAGGGAGCAGGTACACATCTCGCCCACACCGAGCCCTATGCTATCCATCACTTATAACGACGCAATGGGGGGGGCTTACGTCAGCATCATGGCCCTTTGGAGGGGGCTGCGAATATGTCCCAATCACGAAGATACTACAGAATGGCGATATACGGACCCTGGACTCCCTATTAGGGGATACGCCCCGGACCCCTCTAATAGCGTTTCGGTATATGCAAGTGAAACACTTCTACAAACACATGCATGATAAAGACTGCCTACATAGAGCCCTATCATGGTTCGAGACATTGTGCGAAAGGGGCACCCCTGTGGGGAAGGCAATCTCCACGCTTTACCGACACCTCACGGAAAATAATACTTTTCGCAGGCAATGGGAGACCATGCTCAACACTACCTTTACATCCTCGCAATGGGAGAACGCCTTACTCTGGCAACACAAGAGCTCCATCAGCTCACTCTATCAGGAAACCAACTACAAAATTATCGCGATGTGGTATCGGACACCAACACTCCTCCACAGGATCTTCCCGTCAACACCTCCAACATGTTGGATGTCCCAGGCGGAGAGGGGCACGATGATACGCATCTGGTGGGAGTGCAACACCCTTGCTCCGTACTGGGAACTGATACGACAAAACATAACCGAAGTCCTGGGAGAAATACCCACATGGACAACAACTCTAGCACTACTACATATATCACAAATGTCGATAGCAGGATATAAAAAGTCGATACTACGCCACCTACCTTAGAGAGGGTTCAGAGAAGGGCTACTAAACTGGTTCATGGATTGCGGGATAAAACTTACCAGGAAAGGTTAAAGGATCTTAACATGTATAGCTTGGAGGAAAGACGAGACAGGGGGGATATGATAGAAACATTTAAATATATAAAGGGAATCAACACAGTAAAGGAGGAGACTATATTTAAAAGAAGAAAAACTACCACAACAAGAGGACATAGTCTTAAATTAGAGGGACAAAGGTTTAAAAATAATATCAGGAAGTATTACTTTACTGAGAGGGTAGTGGATGCATGGAATAGCCTTCCAGCTGAAGTGGTAGAGGTTAACACAGTAAAGGAGTTTAAGCATGCGTGGGATAGGCATAAGGCTATCCTAACTATAAGATAAGACTAGGGACTAATGAAAGTATTTAGAAAATTGGGCAGACTAGATGGGCCGAATGGTTCTTATCTGCCGTCACATTCTATGTTTCTATGTTTCTACTCAATGCAGTTAGAGCTCTGATTTCTATATATTGGAAGAAGACAGAGATCCCCGGCATGGAGGAGTGGATCCGTAGAGTGGAGGGCATTCAGGGGGCGGAGGCAATGCAAGCATCTCTGCTGGGTAGGGGGATAGGCACGCAGAACTGTGGCATCCATGGTTCGCATTTGTATCCAGGACTCGGTAGGGCGGAGGGGGGGAGGCTCGCGGGGGAGAACCCGGACCCTCAGGGCGGAATCCATACCTCCTCTCATATCAAAACTCCCTGACCCTCGCTCTTCTCTTTTCTTCTCTTTCTTCTTCTCTATCACGGTTCATGTGATTACAATTCATTCACTCTCTTTACCATCTACACTTACACACAGCTAACTCAACGAAGACCACGCCACAGTCACCTGTCAAAAGAAAAAATAATATAGAAAAACCAACACTCTAATTACAACTCACGGATTTGCAACCAGATAAAGTAGTTATAAACAGATATATGGAACAAGGAATGATAAGGTAGCTCAGACAGGAAAACTCCAAATCCTTACCACAGTCACCGCACTAAAACATAAGATCAACAAGATCACGGGTAACTGACACGACACCTAGCTACCACACCCACTTCGCATACAATGTCAACCCTCATTGGCACCCATATTCATAACGATAACCCACAAACATGACATGGAGAGCTCGTGGCTGACCACCCGCGCTACACCCACTTCGCATACATTGTCAACCCTCATTGGCACCCATATTCATAACGATAACCCACAAACACGACATGGAGAGCTCGTGGCTGACCACCCGCGCTACATACATATACCCTGAGGGGAAACGGTAGGAACCAGGTACAAGTTAATTTCTGAATACCGAGTTTTGGTTGTTTACAATGCTGTGATGTAAGATGACGAATGATTTGTTATCAATACTGAATGTTCTGCTTGATACGCATATGAATCTAAGGTAGCAGATACACACAGGTCGTTCGTGACCTCAACCTGCTCAAATTTGAATTGTAATAAGCTGTTCTATCACTACCTTATCTAATAAAAACAGATTTACAAAAAATAAGAAGAACATTTTCGGTTTCGCATTTGGAATTTTGGCACTTGAGCACTTGTCTTGCAGCCGCTGAGTAGATAACTCCCTGATTCCCACGGTATTAGGGAGTTAGCTACCAAAAGGCTGAAAGACCTAACTTGGTCTTTCAGCTACATTTACTAATACTAAGTAAAAATTAGGAGCATGTCTATTAAACAGTAAGCAGCCTGAAAGGAGGACATATTGCCCCCCCCCCCCCCCGAATTGTCATCCCAGGTGACTAGGGATCTCCAAACCCCTAGTCACACCACTCCTCCCAAAAAAGTAACCCCTACCTACCCCCTCACCCTAAAAATAATGAGGGGGGACCATAAACTAGTTACCTGTAAAAAAAAAAAACACTAAATAAAACTTACCATTTGATGTCTTCTTTTTTCAAAAATCTTTTTTTCAGCCCCAAAAAGGCCAAATAAAAAATAACCGTCACACTTTAAAAAAAAAAAAAAAAAAGACTTGGGGCGGGCCTGACTGGCTAGCCGAACGGACGCATGCCGCACAGGCTCCCGAGTCCGACAAGCCAAATCTAACTTTACAAGCTCCCATGCAGTGGAATTTACCGCAAAAAGCAAAAGCTGTGGAGGGGGGATCACAGACCAGCCCACATAATCTCACCAAATGCCCAGCGTCATCACGCAATCCAAAAGGAAAGCAGAGCACCTATAAAACGAAGCGACCTAGGGAGAAGCACACTCCTAACGCCCCACAGACTGGGCATAGGATGAACAGGTGCGGAGATCCGGACAACCCCATGGCACACGAAAGTACTAAAATGGGCAAAAGAGGAAATTACAGATCCTGCTAAGTGTGGTGAACTCCTGTTATTCATATATACAGAAGTTAAAATACACTGCTAAAGAATATTAATGCGTAACTTAACTTACACACAGTGTTATAACTCTTTCAAGCGCAGTTTTTAGTGTATTGTAGCCCGCATATAGCTAAGCATGCTAGACGAGCATATTGGATACTCACACAATGCAACTAGCCAACTAGACTTAATTTAGGGCTACAGGTAGAAGCGCATGCATAAGCCTGTCTAAACAACATCCACCCTGTTATTTTATCAAAAAATGTGATGTTCAT